GGGGGGGTAGGGGGATGGGCACCCGATCCTTTCTAAGTCGCTGTATAGTTGATCTTGCTTCGCTAGGCCCACTAAACTGTGCGGCAGAGGGACGGGGTGGAGGCCGTGGGCCCTCGTTCCTTTAGCCGCCGCGCCCCCCTTCCCCCCAGCTGCGCCGCAGTGGTGGGCGCAGTGCTTTGAAGTGCTGCCTCCTTTGATTCGAGTTGCAGTCTAATTATACAGTGTGCTGGGCGCTGCGCTCGCCTTGCTGCCTATCCGCGCCCTGCCGCGTTCAACCAGCCCGCCCCACCCCGCCCGGGCGCAGGTGGGGTGCGGTGGGTTGTGCAAAGGGGCCAAAGGGGTCTGGCCGTGTTTGCCGGCCCGGTCTGGTCTGGCGCGGCGGGGCGGCTCGTCTAGTCCATTGTAACCACGGCGGGGTCGCGAGTCGGGTGGGGCTGGGGTTCGAACCGAGCCGGGCCGCCCCGCGCCGCCCCTCGCCCCGCCCCTTGCTTGCTTTGCCTCCAGTAATTCACCCCTGCCCCTACCCCCCGTCCGGCGGACGGTGTCGTCTGGTGATTGGGGGAGACGTCGACGACGAGGAGAAAGTCGAGGGGTGTGGAACTGGCCAAAAAAAAAGTTTAGACATGATTGTGTCTCGACATTGTTTCGGATTGCGTATGCTTGTGTCGATGATTGTCTCTGATTGTTTCAGATTTTTGGATAAATATTGTGACATATTTTGGAAAATTGTGTCAGATTGTGACTTGATTGTTTCGTGATCCTGCGTGATTGTTTTGGATTGTGAGTGATGGCGTCCGATTGCGTGTTGATTGTTTTTGAATGTTATCCCCGATGTACACACATTGTGTCCAGTTCTACACTGCTTGGAGAGTCAATAGTGTATTTCGCCTAACGGGAGGAAGTAGAATAGCGTGTAGAGTAATAAACGTAAGGTACCGATTGGTCGAGAGCTTCCCGCCTCTACGTCACGCCGGTGGTGGGAGTTAGCGCTCAGCCAATTAGGAACCTTTATGTTCTACCCGCTATTCTTCTTCCTCTGTTAGTCGAAATACACTATGTGTCTCAGGAAAACACGTCGGCTAGAAACAGAACGGCTGGCGCACCCGGCTGGGATGAGTCGGGAGTGAGATTTCAAAGGGGACGGAGTAGGAAAAGGGGGTTAGGGGTGGGGGGTATGTGCGCAGCACGGAGACGTGATGGCGTCGTCTCTTATCGACTTGTGGAGCTAGGGGGACCCGGGCACAAAACCGCGCTTCTTTCTCTGTACCGGCGCGGT